TTTAATATAATTATTAAATATCAAAAAATTAATATAAAAAAAATAAACTTCAATTACACAACTTATCGGAGTGCAGCGGCGTCATAATTGACAACAAAAATCATGTGAACTGTTCTCTATTTAAAAATTTTTGGAATGTAAAATATATCTCATAAGCCAACGTGATACTGGATAATCTTGAAAAGGATTTTCATACCAAAAAAATTAGGAAAGCAGGGATTGCTTCTTGAAGAAACCGTTTGACTGATAATTATGGGCTATAGCTGGTTTTTTTAAAACAGTTCATTAAAGTGTTTAGAAAGACATTAATTTTAAATAAGTATGAGTTATTCTATTAGTTAACAATAATTATTTCCATCAGCTAAATTGAGTAAATACAACAATTTTCATATTAAAATGTTATTAAAATTTTAAAAAATTACTTTTCAAGTCAGATTATATTTTTAAAATGCAATTTAACTATTAAAATTATTAAAATATTTTTAATAAAATAATATTAAAATGTTATTAAAATTTTAAAAAATTATTATTAAATGCATAAATATTTAAAAGTACTGTATGCTTACATTAAAAAAAAAAAACTTCCAACCCGCAGTAACATTCGCACCCTAAAAGCCCAATCAGAGAACCTCGTGAGCTTTCCCGTAATACCTGTTTATGAAAGCGGACTGCAAGGCAGAATCACAAGAGATTAGCACAATATTATGGTGATTTTCTTTTGCTAGGAGCATTTCATAATCTCGTACTGCATAAAAGTGGAATTTATTCTAGCACTTTCATTCTAGGAAACTGCAACATTACAACTGAAAGATAAGAAAAGCATGCTGAAATAAGTACTAAAGAAACAATTACATCCCTGGGCCATTGTAAATAATAATGATTTTTCATATTGATTCCACATCACGAAATGACATAAAACATTAGACATGGATTGCGCCACCACATCCATCGTCATCCTTATTTTCTTGACTGGAAGTGGTTTTGTTGTTTTGTTTCTTAGAAAGTTAGAGAAAATATGAGGAAATTAAGTGGTAATTTGCAGCAGAAATTATAGTAGTGATTTCCAAAGATTATGTGTTCTAATTTGAACATGCAAAAAGAAATCTAGGGTTGAACCCACTACATATGATTTTTTAATAATTGAAAATTTGTGAATTTGCAGATGATTATTCCAATAACAGAAGAGGGAAAATTGTTTTTTTTTTTTTTATCTAAATCCAATTAAACATAAATGATTTAATCTAATGATACTTAAATGAGTAATTAAAGTTGATTAATAAATAATTAAAGTTAATCATATCTTAATTTAAAGATTAAGAAATAAAAATTTACCAAAAAACTAATCTTTTTATATAAAATGCTGATGTGGACTAAAAAATATGTCCACATCAGTTTTTTGTATTTTTTTACAAAGTGAATTTTTCACATCACATAATTCCATTCATTGACTGACACCTGTTAAATTTTAACAGAGGGATAAAAAAGGGATCGAATTTCAACCTTTAAGGATCAAGAAGGAGATTTTTTCAGTACAAATACCAAAAAGGAGCCTTTTTTTCAATAGTAAAGGAACCAAAAAAGGGTATTTAACCGATAATTTCAAACAAAAAAGTTAGCTATAGTGACAGATGAATTGGAGCAGAGGGAGTAATTTATTACCTAATTCAAAGGAAAAGGAAATGGAATGGAAACGTGGAGCAGTAATTAAGGCTTACCTTAACTTGGGATACATCAGGAGTATCTGCAGTTTTCACAGGATAGAACTTGTAAAATTTCATGTTCTGGAATGCTGCTTTGATTTCCTCTCTCATTTCTTCACGGGCCTTTTTCCGTGCTTGTCTTGCCTAAACATACAAAAGGAATTATCAATAATCATATCCAAGAGAATGCTCAGTAACTGAACCATATACCACAAGACACAAGCCACAAACAATCTCTGGCTTAAAATACCTCTCTAATTGCCTTTTTTGCTTCCCGAATTTTCTCTCCAACAAACTCCTGAAAAAGCAAAGCAGATCATATTGGATTAGAGGTCTTGAGAAGCACAAATTCCTAGAAAATTTCTAGACTTTCAGCTATATTATAAAAGTCTTACTTTAAAGGCATCCTTTTGATCTCCAGGTAATGCCTCCTCCTCGACTAGTTTATCTGTGAACTCCTGCAAATTTAAAAATATATATAATGCCAAATCTACAACAGAAAGCCAAACGAAGGAAGTTTGAAAAGAGATGCTTTCAGTGACACAAGAAACCACTCAACCCTTAGAATGGCCTTGAAAACAAATAGCAGAAGGGTTACTACACAATAGCTGTAGCCAGCACAGCAAGCTTATCCAATTAACTATTACAGAAAGAGGAAAAAACAACAATAGACTTGTAAAAAACAGAAACATAGAATGTTTCCAGCAATTACTCTACACAACTCCTATTCCACAATTGAAACCAGACTAATTCATGAAAGAGAAAAATCTTACATCAACTTCATCAAATTCCCAATCGAATTCACAGACTACCTGCAAGCAAGACCAAAATGGAGATGTCAATTTGCACAATTTTCAGATCACTTATCTTTAATAAAGTATAGAGAAACTGGACTGTCAACCCCAACTCCCCACTCAATCCACTAACATTCAAATAATTCGGTCTCCAGAAATTTATTTTCTCACACAATACTAAAATCTTACCGGTGGTTCTAATGGAAAAAATATTTGAACCACAGTGTTTTGTTCAAGCTCATCTTCCTTCAAGGGGTCATAGAAATCTGCCAATAAAAGCATGGATAGAAAATGATTAAAATCTTCATTTCTTTCTTATTCTTTTTCCATTTTAGAACTCAATAGCAAGTCACAGTAAACAGTAAATGTTGAACTTCATGTGTAATTCAGCAGTTTTGCATCCAAACACAGCTAAGAGAACTCACAAGGCAGGCAGTACTCGTATTTCTTGAGACGTTCTATCTTCAGATGTTTCAAAGCAGTCCTGCAGAAGAAATTTTCAAGTGCTTAAGTCATGCATCTGCTCACAGATGAATAGGCTAATAGCTATGGATGAAATTGAAAGTTGACTTGTGCCCCAAATATCTCATCAGGAATCTGACATGCTAAAAATTTTTAAAATGATCAAGAATAACACATGAAAGTGTACATCCCACACCAAGATTATGCATAAGAAATTATAAACCAAAGCAATGAAATATTTTGGTGGGGAAGTAAGATGGAAAATTAGAAACAACATTAATGACAAATTACCAGATGCATTGACCATCAGCACAACATTTTTTATTTGCACATGTTATTCTTGAGTCACCAAAGGCAATGTCTCAGCTCTTTTGGCATAGAAGGAGAAGATTATCAATATTTGTTTACATTTGATACAATTAACCCTGAGACAAAATACATGGCTGCCTTGTCTTCCTCAAATATAAAAAACTTTTTGGTGGGAACAAAATAAGCACATTTGCGCAATTGAAACAAGACCTACATGCAAACTTTGATCATTTTCCCTGTTGTGAATCCAAGAAATAGTTTAAACTAAGATATTCTAATTAATTGGATCCAACTTCATGATTGTACACAAGCATTTTCCCACAGATCAGAACAACTCTTTAAAAACAAATATAACAAGTGGATTCTGGTGCACATCCAAGATCACTTGACAAGACATGCTCAAGCATAATTTATACAAAGATTATAAGATCATGAGAAAGGGCCATCCAAGAGTCAAGGTGAAAAATGAAAAACCATTTAACCCCATGTAAAAGACAAGTAGAAGAATCAAGATTTCATAATGAGAGAGAGAGTTGCACAAAAAGTACCTTCTTTGAGTGCAGCTCAAGATAAAAATTTGAGATTTCATCCTATCAACTTGGCTGTCCCTGTAGCAGAATATTTCAGAGCAGTTAAAAACTAAAAAGATAAATAAAAAGTAAATTTATCACAAAAAATAAAATTGGGACTTTTTTTTTGGCCCAATATCAACTTCAGACTTTAATGTAAGAATACAAACATGGTTTCAAAACTCAGTTCAAAATCAAAAGCACAAAACAATGAAATAAGATACCTATCCTCAAGTGGCATATAAGGAACCCAATCCATTTTCATTTGTCTCATTGGAACAATTTCTTCGGCTTCTCTCTGCACTGAGTTAATACCTATCTTATCTGAAGGTGGGACAGGAGACACAACCTACCATAAAAAAGAGGAACACCAAAAGCAAAAGAAATTAATAACATCTAAGAAAATAACCCAATCATGATAATAGAAAGAATTAGTTTTGGGAAACCACTTTCCACGCCCTAAAAAATCATTCAATTTTATATATGACAGAAACCAAGAAAAAACAATGACTAGAACAACAGAAAATACACAATCAGAAGTGGGGGTAAGAAATCAAACACAATAGTTTGGGAAGCTTCTAAGTGTCAATGCCAGCATTTGTGCTGTATGGTTCAGATAACATGTATTCCTTCAAGAGCCTGTATGAGACTTAGTAGGTTTTTGAATTGAGCAAACATATTAAGAATCAGCTATAATATCTATTGGGAGATTGTCATCCAAATCCTTTTCCCCCAAAAATTGTCCCCACCTATTGAGGTGGAGTCACACCCAAGAGACAAATCCCCAAGTTATCAACTCTTTATAACCACACCTCAAAGGAACAGCCATACTGAAGCATACAACTAAATATAAAAAATAAACTAGAAAATAGTTAACAAAAAATCTGCACAGATGCTGTTATAGACACACACACACCCCTCTAGCAAAAATGACAATTAACAAAGCTTCATGCTGAAACAATGGAAGAAGAGAAAGGGAGAGGGGGGGTGGAAGAAAGATTCCTTGAATCAACTTAAAAATAAGAAGCATTGACAGTTTAACTTCAAATTTAACTTTAAAAGACTTACAACAACCACAACAGGTATACAAGTCACTATGTTCTCTCCCTTGTAAGGGACCAGCTGAGCTGCAAAGACAGAAAATAAATAAAATCAACTAATTAAATAATCAAACAATGAGAGGGAGCAAGGTTGTAAAAAGCATTAGGCGATGGTGGGTGGTTGCTCATAGCCTAGAGCCTAGACAGCCTAGGTGGTTTTTTTTTTAAATCAGTTTTTTTTATATAATACTAAGAAAATAGGGGAAAAAAGTGAGATAAATCTTAAAATTACAAAAAAAAAAAGCGAGGAAAATTAAACTTTTTTCTATCCATTATCATTATAAATTAGTATTTGAGTGTTGATTTGTATTTATATGCATAGATGGATCAAAGTGGATTTGGGTATAGAAATGGAAAATGAAGGATCTCACCGTCTCAGAGAAGTGGGAAGAAGGCACAATGAAAGGCTGAGAGTGGACAAATGGGCATAAATAAGAATTTAGAGAATTTTTTTAATAATATTTTTTATGACAATGAAAATGACGTTGTTTCATTAGTTTGCAACAAAAAAAAAAAAAATGTCCAGGCACAATTAGGCGCAATTAAGCACGCCTAATAGTGCCTGAGCTTGCTTAATTGAGATAAGCTGTTCAAACCGCACAGATCCACCGACTAGAGGCCAATGCGATGCAGAAAGCCAACGCACAGCGACTAGGCGGCGCCTAGGCCCGCTTTTACAACAGTGAGAGGGAGGGGGAGAGAGTAGATGTATGACTGAAAAGAGCAAGTTTTAGCGTTTTAGCAACTTAGCTTCAAAACACAACTTAATAAACAGATTTTTCTCACAGAGAAAAACTATAAGAAAGTAAGATATGAAAAGAAGTGCAAGCAATGGCATAGAAACTCATTTTTCTCAAATATCCGTAAATGGTTGACAACAAGAGCTAATAAGACTGCAAGCTACTTACGCTCTGTTGAAACAAAGATATAAACTTTTTTCCCATATAACTTTCCACCCTCTTCAAATGCCTCCTGAGAAAAGATTAACAGTCATGAATCCAGATACTAAGCGTATTTTGCACGTCTACAATAGATGTAGCACATTTGTTGTAGGGGAACAAAAAGCAATATGACCCTTGCAACTTACTTCTAGATTTGAAAAGTTCCAGTTGAAGTTGTAGAGAGTGTCCATCTGCTCCCACTGGCATGAAAGAAAAAGAAACATAAGAAACAGAATGGAACACATTTTATAAACGCAAATCCAAACTGAACAGGGGAAAATTGACGGATTCCAATCAAACCTCTGTTCCAACTGGGAACGCTGCTGTCCATAAATCTTCCTAAAAGACATAAATTGGCAATTTCATCAGTAAAACTGAAGTTAAATTAACACTAATAAAAAATTTCAGCCCTGAAAAACAAAGCAACCGCATCTAACTTATTTTTAAATACTATACATTGACTGTTAATTGTCAAATTCAAGCAGAAAGATACCAACTGTTATCCAATTAGAATCAAAATTTTCAAATCATATTCTATTGAATAGAACAATTAGGGAAAAAAAAAATCAATTTGATTATCAAAACCTGAGTTAGCATCTATTCTCCTATCTTCAACCACTTAACATATTTCGAACTATCATCAATCACGCGCAAATCTAAAACTGAACTCAGGAACGACTAAAATCAGGAAATCCGACAATGCAGAGAAAAATTTATCCAGAAACGACAATAAGAGAGAAAAAAAAAAAAAGAGCAGAGCCAGGCAACATGAATACCAAGTTACGCTTATCCTCGAAGTACTCCGGCACCGGCTCCGGCTTGTGCTTCACGGCGACCTTAATACTCTTAGCACGAGGAGCAGCCTCCTTTTTACTCTCCTTCTGGATCTCTTGTGAAGAAGAGGAGGCCTTCATCTGATCCTCCGGTTCGGCCTTGGAACCGACCTTACCACGCTTCGCACGAGGAGCAGCCTTCTGAATCTCTTTCTGATCCTCTTGCGAAGAGGAATGAGGCTTAGCGTCGTCTTTCTGCGTCGCCTTCCTCTTAGCAACTTTCGTCATTGTTGAAGCAGAAGGGAGGAGGCGTAAATTTTTGGCTTAGAGGGGGATGGCGGTGATCCGGAGATTCAAATTAACTAGAGAGAGAGAGAGAAAGGAAGCGCCGTGGTGTTTTTTTTTTTGGGTAAGAGATGTTGGAAAGGGAAAAGGTTTTTAAAATAATTCTGAATCTGACTTTCGTGCGTTAATCCAACGCGATGCTGGGCCGACTTTAAAATAGGGTTTATATTAATTTAGTGGCTGTTTGGTGCAGTGTGAGAAGGATTCAATCGTTGTTCGGTGTAACTGAACTTTTAATAGAAG